GGTCTTTCTCAGAGTGTATCGCCGTTGTGCTGTTTATTATTTTAGTTTTGACTGCTTGCATTTCATTTTTAAGGGAGTTGAAGTCATCAGCAAGAGCATTTTTCAGCTCAGACCTTGAGCGAGTGAAGAATCTTCGATCTCAGGTCCATCGAATCCATTTTCTCTGGGCTGACCGGAGGGGATAAGGTCACTCACAAACAGGTGATGGTGGAACTCAAAGACAAGGTGGCATTAGGCCTAGAACCAGGTGATGCGTCGTATTTGTATTTGCGCTTGTCCACCATTAGCTCATATATTTTCTCTTTTCTTATTTTAGAAACGCATAAGAAGCAGAAATCACAGTGTTTTATTATCAGGTGCTGATTTTATATCATATAGCAGGAGGTAAGCGGGAGCTCAAATCAGACACATCTTACTCCTTTGCCATGCAACTGGAAACCCCCAGAGGACCGTTTTTTTGGCTTGAAAATCCAAGGCCAGCTGATTCCTGTTCCTGTGTCAACCAGAACAGTTTGTCAGATTCTGTCTGGAAATGACCTCCATGGCCAAATCAGTGCCCGGAAGCCAACACTAAACAAAACACAATTGAAAAACCCTGTGGTATTTGCCAAGGCCCACAGCCTGCCAAAAAGAATGGACGCTAGAAAAGTGGCAGGAGGTGGATTTTTTCAGATGAATCTTTTGTTGAATTACACACAGGCATGCAAGACTGCTTTCTTTGCTATTTCTGAAGACTTAATCAATAAATTGTATGAATCCTTGCCAAACTGCATGGATCCAGTCCTTCAAGCACATGGATATCATACAAGATATTAAATTTGGGTCTTGCAGCACCACTACTCTAATTTGCTGACATGTTTTTGTATTTGCAGTAAATTTGTAAAATTTCTCTATAGCCAACAAAAAAACTTCATGAAAACTAATTCATTTCAGTGCATTAAACATCATTTAGGGGGGTTTAGCTTTTCATATGAGCTATTTCTAACACAATTTGCTTAATTAAACGTCAGGTTCATTGCAAGTGTTTCTACAAAATAGATAAGCGACAAGATTTGGTCAGGGAAAGTACAGTTTGGTCATGCCTGGTCTGAAAATTTAATTTGGAAAGTGCTTTTCATTAATGCTCAGGTTGATCTCTTGCCATTTTTCATACATGAGCCAATAAAATTATAGGTTTGAGATCAGACAGAGGAATTAAACTTGGTCATTTTCAGAGAACCTACCAGTTCATTATCAGGAATGATGTGTTGAACCGTTTAACACAGGGGTGTCCAATCCTGTTCCTGGAGAGCCACCTTCCTGCAGATTTCAGTTACAACCCATATTAAACACACCTGCCTATAATTATCACATGGTGTTTAGATCCTAATTAATTGGTTCAGGTGTGTTTGATATGGGTAGCAACTGAAATCTGCAGGAAGGTAGCTCTCCAAGAACAGGATTGGCCACCCCTGGTTTAACACATCTGAACCATTTGAAAATTAACTGTTTATTCTCTAAAAAGTGTTGTTTTTTTGTGGGAATTATAGGGTGGTCTGACTTAAAAAAGGTTCAAGTTCTTGAATACAAGATTTAAAGTCTGTGCAGTAAACCTAAAATTTGTCCAAGAAGCGATGTAAAGCTAGATTGGCTTCTGGCAAGCCCTTGCGCTTTCGTATGTCAGCCATAATATGAGCAGTTTTGGAGGTAGTATTCAATGGGTCTCCAGGCATGATCTGCCAATGATCAAACACACACTGTGAGAAGGCTTGGCCAGATGTGTTGGCACAAAGGTCAGCTGTAAAACCTGCAAAGAAAAGGAGATACCATTTACACTATGTAACTTGAATCATTAACCGGAGAAGACAAGCCAAGATTTTTTCAGCTTCACTCACCAAATGACTCACTGACAGGCAAGTAAGCCTTGAGCAAATAAATAGGAGTTCCCGTAACCTGGGACTCTGAAAACACTACTCCACGCCTCCTGACCAGTACAGCATGAATAATACCAATAACTGACTCTGGGCACTGTAGGCAGATCAAAAGTGTGGTACAATTAGAGATTGGCATCAAATACCAAAAGATCAATAAGCAGGAGTTTTAATGCTACTTTTATACCTGCATCTCCACCAGGTATACCGGCTCACTAAGCCTTGGTTCAGCTGTGAGCTGACAGCCATAAAGCACTCGGCGGGTTGCAGTAATCACTTGACCTGGACCACGGTGAATGGCAGTGGAAGTCAAAGTTGCATCATGAATGTCGAAGCGAATGCCACGCATGTTCTCTGCGCACAAGATTCCCTGGAATGAACAAAACACTTTAGAGAGCTGTGACTCAAACTAAAGCAAATGTGTCTAGTTGATAATAGAGGGACATCTTAATCCAATCAGAATTGAACATAAGCCAAATCAATCTTTGCAATTTAGAAAATTCCAGAAAGGTCTATCAAATCTATCAAGGTGGCCTTTACCCAAGAGAATCCAGAGGACACTCTAGCTTAAAGAACACTCCACCTTTGGAAGTTTATTTTACAACTCCCTTAGTGTTAAAGGTTTAATTTGATTCATTGATTTATGCCAAGGTTTTCTTCTGCCAGATCCAGAAATTAGCTGAATGGATTGAGTACGAGGAGTAGTGACATTAATAAATGTTATGCTTTTATCATACCTCTCTAGTGACCCACTGAAATCCAGCGATCACACTGTCCTTAATCTCATTCAAGTATTGCACTCTCTTGGTCAAATCTACCAAGATGTTGGGTCCAGTTCCCTCAGGGCCAAAGCACCAGATCTTACGAGCTTCAGTCACTTCCCACTTATAGTTTTCAGCAAGGTATTGGGCACGGGCATTCATCTCCTGGCTGGCAGTGACCCGACCCTTATCAATATCTTCTGCAAGACCATCAGCCAGAGGACAGGCTTTAAAGAAGAGACGACTTTGCTGGTTTGGGGTCTTGGCAAGGCACATTTTTTTGGAGCCATCACTGACTGTCTCTCTGTAGGTAGCAAATAGATCTGATTTCTGTAAAGAACAGCATGTTAGAGAACAATCATAGTTGGTATAATGTGGTGCACAATTGGACTAGCTATTGGTACCTTGAGACCATGGACCTCTTCAAGATCCTTAAGGCAAATCTCCAAGTGAAGCTCACCAGCTCCAGCAATGATATGCTCACCAGAATCCTCGAAGATGCATTGCAACATGGGATCTGACTTGGCCAGATGCTTCAATCCCTCCACCAGTTTAGGAAGGTCAGCAGGGTCCATGACCTCCACGGACACTCTCACCACAGGACTGACACTAAACTTCATCACACGCATATTGTAGGCTTTTGTGAAAGTAGTGATGGTTCCAGTCTTTACCAAAAACGGATCCACCCCTAACAGACCTACAATATTGCCGCAGGGCACATCTTCAATGGGTTCAACGTAGCGACCCATCATTAGAACAGTCCTGAAAAACACAAAAACATGTAGGCAATTCACAAATAAATGGTTATTCACCATACCTAAAAGTTTCATGGAAATACAAAACAAAATAACTTACCTTTGGATGGGTTTCAGGTAAAGATCATCCTTTTTTCCAGGGGTGAAGTTGGGCCCCATAATGCGCACATTCAGGCCAGTGGAGACACAGCCAGAGAAGACGCGACCAAACGCATAAAAACAACCTTTGTCAGATGTTGGTACCATTTTAGAAATGTACATCATGAGAGGTGCTTTAGGGTCACAATTCTTGATGCCTGAGTAAACAAACAAAACATTCAGGCTTTTACTACAAGTACAAACTCGATATAGTTACAGAACATGAGGATTTCCTTGCTACAGTTTTATACTCAAAAAGCAGAACATACCCATGGCAGCCTCATCATCTCCAGGTCCTTCATACAGGAGCTCACAGCGGTAAATCTGGGCAGTAACCGGTGAGGGCAGGTGGATGGTGATCATCTGAAGCAGAGCCTCTCCAGCCTGCAGCCAGCGGCGCATCACAGCCTTCAGTAGGAGTTTGCCCTCCATCTTCTCCTCCTCTGCATCTAGCTTGATGCCCATCTTCTCAATCAGCTTTGCAGTTTCTTCCTTTTTGAAGTTCATGATGGCATCAAATACCTTTATAGTGGCGAAGAATAAGATCTCTATGTAATATAGATATTCAGGTCAAAGTGAAGAATGTTTAAATCATCATCAATGGCTTGCATTAAAAACAGAATTGTTGCTAGTTTTCTCACTTTGAAGATGGGGTCCAGGACTAGTTGAACAAAAGTCCTGGGAAGCTTCTTGCCATTTGGGGATGTCGCAGACTCACTGAACTTGCCAGTAGTAGAGTCAAAGTAGCTGCAAACAAATGGACATAAAATGTCACGTACAAAAATGCAACATTACATTCATTCAGTTGTGTTGGAACATCCTCTCACCTGTTGCCCCAAAGTTTCTTCATCATGTCCTCCACCTTCTTGATGTACTCTTCAGGTCCCAGCTGAGCTTTACCAGCGAACTTTTTCACATAGAGCTCAGCAAACTGCTTCAAAGTGAAGGCCCATCCATGCAGTCCAGATCCAAAGGCAAGATTACCAATGAGAGGATCAATCTAAGATCAGGATGTTAAAAACATTCACAATGAATATTAGAAATAAGCCCACAGATAAAACAGAAAGCATTAATGGACCCATGACGGAGCCTTGAGGCACTCACCATGACGTTGCCCATAGGGCCTTTCTCATCCTCAGCATAGGTGGAGATGGTCACGTTGACTTTCTCAACAATGCGCTGAAAGATCTGGTACAGCTCTTCAGGGCCCAACTGTAGCTCGAGCAAAGCTCGATCCATTTTGTTAATCATCAAAACTGGTTTAATCCTCTCACCAATGGCCTGTCTGAGCACAGTCTCTGTCTGTAAGCACACACCTGCTAAACAGCAATTTGACATTTTAATAAGCCTCCAAGAGAGCTCAAGTTCAAGTTACAGAATTCATATATTAGGCATGACTATCAAAATTATACCAAGGAAGTCTTTGATTAATAAAACAGTGATTTAAAAATCAAAACTGCTATTTCTGCACATACCAGACACACAATCCACCACCAGCAATGCTCCATCTGTGATACGCAGTGCAGCTGTAACTTCTGAAGAGAAGTCAACATGGCCAGGGGAGTCAATCAGGTTGAGGAGGAAGCCGGAGCCATCTTTGCACTCTTTAATGAAAGCCAAATCCTTATCAGCAAGCTCATAGAATATGGAGATAGCACTGTGTGGGCAAACGGTGAAAGTATATTTATTAAAATGTTTGTAGACTTAAGGTTTATATTTCAGTCTTGCAATATACAATATGCCTTGAGACCCATTCAGACTACATCATTTTTATCATGACTGTCAGTTTAAGCAAACTTGTCTAGATAAAATCTTGATGTGTCGTGGGTAACAAACATGCCAGACTACAAGTTGGTTTGCAGTCAATCATCACATGACGTTTATACTGTGCGTTCAAGTGTTTCCGACAGACAGCAATTTACCTAATACATAGCTTTCTGAACAAAACTGTAGATGAGTAGATGCATTCTGTGGCAGAAAGAGCTGCAGAAGTAGATTCCCAGTGATGGCTGTAAATAAATCAGCGATATGCTCACAAACGCTAATGTTACTTCAAATCAAACTGACAAGGAAATTTTTAGCAGATAGCTGGTTACCTTTAAAGATACGTTCATATAAAATTAATTAGATCGCAAAGAGAATGAGAACATAATGAGTGGTTAAAATTTACATGCTAATTCTAAAACAGAAAACAGGGCTGTGCGATATGACGATTTATTGTATGGATGAAATATTGTTCATAATATAAAACAAAACAGTTTCATTTTTCGCTGTATTGTTTTTCATGGTTTTGCAAAATACATTGTTTATGGCAATTAGGGCTCGGTGCAGTACAGTACAGTAAATGGTTGAGTGTGATGACTTGTCACTAAAGTTTATAGTTTGCTCTTGCCCATTTTTCAAAATGTTTGCAAATTGATTTCAGAAACGACTGATCTACTGGGATTTTCAAGCACAACCATCTCTAGGGTTTACAGAGAATGGTCCGAAAGAGAGAAAATATCCAGTGAGCGGCAGTTCTGTGGGCACAAATGACTTGTTAATGCCAGAGGTCAGAGGAGAATGGCCAGACTTGTTCGAGCTGAAAGAAAGGCAATAGTAACTCAAAGAACCACTCTGTAATGGTGGTTGGTAGTAATAATTAGGTTTATATATAACTTGAATGAAGAAAAATAAAAAGAAATTTCAAAAAAACAATTTTGGTGGGATTCGAACACAGGTCCGCCTGCACCACAGTCCATCGTTCAACCACTTGTCCAAGTGATCACTGGGAAGTTTCAGAGTTTCACGGCCCTTAATCTCACTCCCAGTGGACCTCAAACAAAAAAAATATTAGGTATCAATATGTTTAATTAAACTTTGGGCGCCAGACAAGATTACCTTGCCAAAAAGAAAAACATTTACTAATACCCTGGTTAGCCACGGCTGGCATTCAACCACCATACACAATGAAAAACAAAAGGATAAATAATAACAACGCAACACACTTTAAATGAAATCAACTGTTGTATTTTTAACACACAGTACAACAAATATATATATTTTCTAAATAATAACTAGTTTTTTTCACCACTGTTCAATCTTGGTTGACGATTTTTAACAACAAAAAAATTATCACTGCTTAAGTTAAATAAGTCAATAAAATAAAAGAAAGAAAACATCAAACAAACAAACAATCAATCAAACAAACAATAATAACGTGTGGCTGAGGTAACAGAAACCAGAGAGAAAGAGAAATGTAAAGAAAGTTTGTGAAATTGAGTTGCAATGGGTGTGGATTGTATGGGTGTATGAATGAATGTGAATGACCTAAATAACTGACCCGGCAAACAACGCTGACTCGGTACAGATCCACCTTTGCTTTCGATCCCCATAAGATCCTGCAGACCCCTTCGCACTTAATCGCTTGTGTAGTTTTCTGGTCAGCCTGTCCACCATCACTTTCACACCACAGTATTTATCGTCACACCTCCATCTTCAAAGCCAACAGCTCTTCACCTTTGTATCTTTCTTGTTTCACGTCTTTTCTCCCCCACGATTTCACCACCAACACACGAATAAAAAAACAGCAAAGATGACAGCAACTCCAACAGCAGCTCTAACAACAATAACAACAACAACAACAACAACAACAACACCCCGGAGCAACCCTCAACACCCCCTTTTATGGTCTTCTATTGTGTACCTGATCTTCCGTTTCCTCCCGACCCCGGAAGAAAGGTTTTGGAAGCTCGAGGGAGGGCAGAACAGAGCAGCGCCTCCTAGTGGCACTTTGAGAAAATGGGAGAACATTTTATTCGCCACAACTCGTTACAACAGAGGTCTGCAGAAGAGCATCTTTGAACGCACAACACGTCCAACCTTGAGGCAGATGGGCTACAGCAGCAGAAAACCACACCAGGTGCCACTCCTGTCAGCCAAGCACAGGAAACTAGCTACAATTTACACAGGCTCACGAAAACTGGACAATAGAAGATTGTAAAAAATGCTGCCTGGTCTAAGGTGTCTTGATTGAGGTGTCTTGATTTCTGCTGCAAGATTCAGATGGTAGGGTCAGAATCTTCCGTCAACAACATGAAAGCATGGCTCCATCCTGCCTTGTATCAACAGTTTAGGCTGGTGGTGGTGGTGTAATGGTGTAGGGCAAATTATCTTGGCACACTTTGGGCCCATTAGTACCAATTGAGCATTGTGTCAACGCCACAGCCTACCTGAGTATTGTTGCTGACCATGTCCATCCCTCTATGACCACAGTGTACTCATCTGATGGCTACTTCCAGCAGGATAACAAGCCATGTCATAAAGCGTGAATCATCTCAGACTGTTTTTTTGAACATGACAATGAGTTCACTGCACTCAAACGGCCTTCACAGTCACCAGATCTCAATCCAACAGAGCACCTTAAGCATGAGTTAAAACGCGAGATTCGCATCATGGATGTGCAGCCGACAAATCTGCAGCAACTGTGTGATGCTATCATGTCAACATAGACCAAAATCTCTGAGGAATATTTCCAGTACCTTGCTGAGTCTATGCCACGAAGGATTAAAGTAGTTCTGAAGGCAAAAGGTGGTCACCACTGTACTAGTAAAGTATACCTAATAAAGTGGCCCGTAAGTGTATATGGCTAGCAAATAACTTTTCAATTCTGTATTATGTTAACTGACTGAATCTATAGTGATGTAGATTGTATCTTGTGATAGGAGATGTCATATCGCCCAGCCCTATCCAAGAACATCATGGAGTGGTTTGTTAGTTTACGTGCTAATTCTAGTACTCACCGGGCTGAAGCCTTGAAGGGATGATGTTGTGAAATGTCGCAGACATGGCATTGGTTGTCATACACTATGACACACTACACAAGAAGAAATGATTGAATCTCACATCACGACGGCAGTTTGTCATTTACGAATCCCCACAACACTTTGCCAAGCAAATTAGGCAAAATCTGTGAAAAATTTAGTAGTCTGACCTTAATACTCACGTTGACTTGATGGTGATGCAACGCTCTTGTTCATCACGCCTCGTATCCATAAATCGGGTTTCTCCAGCACAGGCTGAGCTGACGATACCAGCTTTTGACACCAGCCAATCTGTCAAAGTTGATTTGCCGTGATCAAAAGCTCCTATTACAGACATGTTACGGATGTTGGACTTCTTGTCCATGGTGGCACGGATCTGGTCTACATTGAAGTTCTCCTAAAGAAGTAAAATTAGGAGAAATTTAAAAGGAGGCATATTTCTAGTTTTAAAGTATGCTACTTAGTATCCTTTTTCTATCCTTAAATTTATTGCTAAAAAAAAGACAATTTTTAACAAGGTAGCTTTGTTCATTCATTAATGTTGAAAACGGATGTCCATTGACATCCATAGCAAAAACTCAAACAGGTTAAGCACAAGACAGAGTAAGATTGATGTAAAGTTGGTTTTATATTCACAAATTCCTTTAGTGACCATTTGTAACACACTCCCTATATTGTTTACCATGATGCCTTGAATATTCGGTCTGAAATAACATGCAAGTATGATTTGTATTATTTGACTGGGAACAATGTTGTACTTTGGTAGTCACTGGCTGCTAATACGATTTCACTTAGAATTTGCAAAGAATACTTTTCTGAAATTATAATAGGGATAACGTGTGAATGTGTGAATATAAAACCAACTTTCCCTCAATGAGGGCAAGTAAATCACGCCAATTTTTATTTCTGTGTGAATTATTATATAATATTATATATATTAACTTACCCCTATATAATAAGGCAATACACCCTACTTAACACCATCGACTACCAATCGATAAGCCTGGATGTACTACTAAATTCAGAATCAGAGGTTCATATCTTGCCATTTTCTAGGACTTTATTAATAGGTAATATCCATATATAACAAACACCTTCACATTAACCTCGTTTTAATAAGAATGATGTCTGTTCTAATAAACAATGCGTTTAGATTACTTGTAATTACTATACTTACTATATTATTAACTATGAAAATATGGATTTTTAAATATTTCTGAATTCTAAAAAAAACTTGTGAAAAGTTGAATATGAAAAATTAAAGCACTAAAAACACCGAGCTGAGAATAAATAAAGCTGACAGACTTTCAATAAAACAGTCAGAACAGGAAACAGTAAAGTTCTCTTATGATAGCTGCTAAACGCTAATAAGCTAATACTGGATTAAATAATCAAATGACCAAACTCTTTTAAACATTATTTGTCTAAAAAAACGTATATAGACGAAAGCAATTCAAACGAGTCACTTCTGATAGCATGTACGTCACCCTCATTATAGTCAATGTTGGTGCTTAAAACGAAACTACATGCCAACTGTAGGTTAACTATTGCATATAATTTCATAAATCGACTTACCATTTTGTCTAATGTTTTTGCATTCACTCAACAGTGAATGCACTTTCACGCCGCCTACCAGGGCGGAACCAAAGACTGTAAAATATAGGGCGGAACCGCCGATTATGTCGCGCGTTCTACATTTTGTACGTAATGACGTCGGGTCATTCTTCACTTTGGTTTAGTAATTTTTAAAATTAATTCACACTGACACAAAAATCTACAGAAAATGCATTATAATATCACTAATATATGCATTTATTATTTTTTTTATTTCGCTTCCTTAAAATCTTGACGCCTCTGTAGTTTCTGTTATGTCTATAAGTTATTTTACAGTCAGTATCAATCACTTGTTTACCTTTTTCTTGTAGTTGTGATACAGAATGGAACTGTGCAGTTATGTTTTGTATTCCTTTGATATTTACCTTGCGCATCGTGTTAATATTTACTTGTGGTTGTCAACTTAGTGCAAGATGTAGAAAACTAATTTTAGTCAGCTTTACGTCATGTTCTATCTATAAAAACCTAATATCTTGCTAACACATATTTGAGGTAATTTCCTAGCAGCCACTGCTGCCAGTTATTATAAAATGTACATATTTTGATTAAATTATATTTGTCCATCACACAAGCTGAAGTTAATTTGCATTTTTCCTTATCACATAAAAAGTTCATCCTACTCATTTGTGCACACAAGTTTGTCTGCACGTTTAGCAAATGTGTGTATCCATTTGAAAAAAATGCAGATCAGTGGCATCTATCTTAGAGATTTTAGCTCCAACCCTGATCCAACACACCTGAACCAATTAATTAGGACCTGAACAGCACTTGATAATTACAGGCAGGTGTGTTTGATATGGTTTGATTGCAACTGAAATCTGCAGGAACACAGTTGAGCACCTCTGATGTAGATCATAGGTCTAAAACTGAATTCCTGGAGGGGCACAGCTCTGCAGTTTTGCTCCAACCATATCAAACACATCTGACACAAATAATAGAAGTGTTCAAAAGCGTCTTGAACACCTAAATTAGTTGCATCCGCTGCGTTTGATTTAGAGCAAAACTGTGCAGAGCTGCCGCCCTCCAGGAATTGAGTTTGAGATCTACGATAGATTAAAAAAAGTAGATGGAAAGAGTCATTTTGTGAAGAAAGCATTTGACAGTGCACATAACCTCCTTTAGTTTTGTTATTGTCTTTGTTACAAACTACCTTTTTTATTTCAATAAATCTAAATAGGTTTTGTTTGAACCTTAAATCAACCCTAAATTAGTCACACCTGAGGCAGCTAATCAAGCTCTTCTAGGTATATTTTTGAAACTCCAAGGCAGGTGAATTTAAGAAAGGTAAACTATGCATGACAGGCCCTCCAGGACCAAGTCTGGACACCACTGCCTTAGATCATATCAACTACGGCAAATCTTGGGTTCTAGCCAGATCATTTGTAAAGCTATCTCAGCAATCTCACACAGTACACTTATAAGTGTGAAGAGTGTAATTTTAAGACTCTGATTTACATTTATTATTATGTAGTAATATCAATAATCTTTAAATAGAACAATCGACAGGATAATTTACATGGCACAATTGAAAGTATAACTGGGAGGAATAGACCTGCAATACATTTAACAGGTTAAACAGCCTATATTAAATTACACATTTTTTAAATTTTTATGAAAAAGAAGAGACGTTGCATTGCTGATCAAACAGGTTTTACATTTTATTTTTGCAGAGTTAAAAAAAACAAGACTTCCAGCCTCCTTGCATTAACATGGAGGTTGACTTCTAACATTTAACAATTACAAAATATCAATTCATACTCAGTACATGCATATTCCAACAGTACCTTCTCCAATTCATTACATTAAGTTTCAGCACAAATCACAAACTTACACTAGGAATTAAGAAATCCCATCATTAGCCTGTTGCTCCATAATACAAGGTCCCCATGCTTCTTAAATACATATGAATTCAAGCCCATCTACAAACAAATGTAGGCTCTTAAAAGTGCTTGAATTTCTGGAGTTATTTCAACAACTGTACAGTTCTGCTTTCAGAAACTGAACAAAAACTGGGAAATTCACAGACCATAGTTGAATATTACCAGTGTTAAATTAAACAAATTGTATTAAAGTTGTTTGAACAAGACTGTTTATCATTACTCTGATACTTTTAAATATTAAGTGTAAGGGAAATGTTAAAGTACAGTAAGAACTTAAGGTGCTACATAAGCTGAGGAAGTTTAATGATGTTTGATTTAAAATTAATGGTGCTTTAAAAATTCCTCGAAATTGCCGTTCATGAAAGAGTGGGAAACCCTGATAATAGGTGCCTTCGTAAGGCAGACAACAAGTCATTAGTTATGTAGTAGGAGTAAACCTTCAAGTTTGTTTACAGCCACATCAACAACTCCTGGCTATTTAATGGCAAGATCAACATTAATTTAGTGTCGTTTTATTTAATATACTTTCTCAGTTCAATATGATGTTAATTCTTCTTGAAAATGCATTTAAAATGAAAATAAAAAGTGCTCTTAGTATAAAATCTTCACCTAGTGGAGTTTAAAATTTCACAATCTATTAAAATAGGGACCCATTCAGCATTAAGTATATACAGTGTGGTCATGCCTGGTCTAAATTAATTTCAGAAAGTGCCTTTCGTTAATGCTCAGGTTAATCTCTTGCCATTTTTCATACATGTGCAAATTGAATTATAGGTTTGACATAAGAGGAATTTAACTATTCAGAGAACCTGCCAGTATCAGGAAGGTGTTTAGCACATCTGAAGCATTTCTCTAAAAAGTGGCATTTTCTTTCCTATGCAAGTTAAAGGGTGGTCAGACTTATAAAGGTCTAAGTGCTTAAATACAAGATTTAAAGTCTGTGCACATTGTAAACCTTATGTAAACCTACAATTAGTCCAAGTAGCAATGTAAAGCTGGAATGGCTTCATCGAGGCCCTTGCTCTTTCGTATATCAGCCATAATATGAGCAGCTTTAGAGGTAGGATCCAATGGATCTCCAGGCAATATCTGCCAATGATCAAACACACACTGTGAGAAGGCTTGGCCAGATGTGTAGAAGCGAAGGTCAGCTGTAAAACCTGCAGAAAAAAAAGGAGAAACCTTTCACACTATGTAACAAATCATGAACTGGAGAAGACAAGCCAAGATTTTTCCAGCTTCACTCACCAAATGACTCGCTGACAGGCAAGTAAGCCTTGAGCAAATAAACAGGAGTTCCCATAACCTGGGACTCTGAAAACACTACTCCACGCCTCCTGACCAGTTCACCATAAATGTTACCAATAACTGACTTTGGGCACTGTAGGCAGATAACAAATGTGGTACAATTAGAGATTGGCATCAAATACCATTGGCATTAAAAGATCAATAAGCAGGAGTTTTAATGCTACTTTTATACCTGCATCTCCACCAGGTATATCGGCTCACTAAGCCTTGGTTCAGCTGTGAGCTGACATCCGTAAAGCACTCGGCGGGTTGCAACAATTATTTGACCTGGACCACGGTGAATGGCAGTAGAAGTCAAAGTTGCATCATGAATTTCAAAGCGAATCCCACGCATGTTCTCTGCGCACAAGACTCCCTAGAAAGCACAAAACACTTAAATAAAACAAAGCAGTGACTCAAACTAAAGCAAAAGGTGTCTAGTTGATTATAGAGGGACATCTTAATCCAATTGAACATAACCAAATTAGTCTTTGCAATTTAGAAAATCCCAGAAAGGTGTAAAGATGCAAAATTTATCAAGGTGGCGTTCACCTTAGAGAATCCAAAGGACACTCTAGATTATAAAGAAAGGTAAAACTGTCTTACATTAGAGTTATAATACAATGAATAAATGTTGTGCTTTTATCATACCTCTCTAGTGGCCCACTGAAATCCAGCAATCACACTGTCTTTAATCTCATTCAAGTATTGCACTCTCTTGGTCAAATCTACCAAGATGTTGGGTCCAGTTCCCTCAGGGCCAAAGCACCAGATCTTACGAGCTTCAGTCACTTCCCACTTATAGTTTTCAGCAAGGTATTGGGCACGGGCATTCATCTCCTGGCTGGCAGTGACCCGACCCTTATCAATATCTTCTGCAAGACCATCAGCCAGAGGACAGGCCTTCATGAAGAGACGACTGTGCTTGTTTGGCGTCTTGGCAAGGCACAATTGTTTGGAGCCATCACTGACTGTCTCTCTGTAGGAAGCAAATGGATCTGATTTCTGTAAAGAACAGCATGTTAGAGAACAATCATAGTTGGTATAATGTGTTGCCGATTGGACTAGCCATTGGTACCTTGAGGGGAATGCAGGCATGGTCCTCTTCAAGATCCTTAAGGCAAATCTCCAAGTGAAGCTCACCAGCTCCAGCAATGATATGTTCACCAGTATCCTCAATGATGCATTGCAACATGGGATCTGACTTGGCCAGATGCTTCAATCCCTCCACCAGTTTAGGAAGGTCAGCAGGGTCCATGACCTCCACGGACACTCTCACCGCAGGACTGACACTAAACTTCATCACACGCATATTGTAGGCTTTTGTGAAAGTAGTGATGGTTCCAGTCTTTACCAAAAACTGATCCACCCCTAACAGACCTACAATATTGCCGCAGGGCACATCTTCAATGGGTTCAACGTAGCGACCCATCATTAGAACAGTCCTGAAAAACACAAAAACATGCAAAAAAAATTCACAAATAAATGGTTATTCACATTACCTAACAATTTTATTAAAAAGTGAGACAAATTTATATATATATATATATATATATATATATATATATATATATATATATATATATATATATATATATATATATATATATATATATAGGGAGAAAAAAAAAAAAAAAAAGGACCTTTGGATGGGTTTCAGGTAAAGATCCTCCTCTTTTCCAGGGGTGAAGTTTGGCCCCATAATGCGCACATTCAGGCCAGTGGAGACACAGCCAGAGAAGACGCGACCAAACGCATAAAAACAACCTTTGTCAGATGTTGGTATCATTTTAGAAATGTACATCATGAGAGGTGCTTTAGGATCACAATTCTTGATGCCTGAGAAAACAAAC